AATGGATAGGTCATCCAGACAGAAAATCAACAAGGAAATATTGGAAATGAACCATACTGTAGAACAAATGGAGTTAATAGATGTTTATAGAACATTCCATCCAACAGCAGCAGAACACACGTTTTTCTCAAATGCATATGAAATGTTCTCCAGGATGGATCATATGATAGAACACAAAACAAATCTTAGCAAATTTAAGAAGACTGAAATCATATCAACTCTCTTCTTTGACCACAATGGTATAAAATTAGAAATCAACAAAAAGATAGCTGGAAAATCTACAAATATGTGGAAACTAAATGACACATTGCTGAGCAACCAAAGCATTGAGGAAGAAATCAAAAGGGAAAGAAAAACAAATGAAAATGGAAACACAACATATCAAAACTTATGGGATGCAACAAAAGCAGTTCTGAGAAGAAAGTTTATAATGATAAGTGCATATTAGAAAGATCTCAAGTAAACAATCTAACTTTATACCTCAAGGAACTAGAAAAAGAAGAACAAATTAAACCCAAAATTAGCAGAAGGAAGGAAATAAGCATCAAAGAAGAAATAAATGAAATAGAGACAAGAAAAACAATAGAAAAGATCAAGGAACTAAGAGCTGCTTCTTCAAAATAGATAAGCAAAATTGACAAACTTTTGGCTAGACTAAGAAAAAGAGAAGACTCAAAATTAGAAATGAAAGAGGAGACATCACAACTGATACTACAGAAATACATAGAATCATAAGAGACTACTATGAACAATTATCTGCCAACAAATTAAATAACCTAAAAGAAATGGATTAATTTCTAGAAATACAATCTACCAAGATTGAATCAGGAAGAAGTAGAAAATCTGGACAAACCAATAACAAGTAAAGAGATTGAATCGGTAATCAAAACCTCCCAACATGGAAAAACTCCAGGACCAGATGGCTTCACTGGTGAATTCTACCAAATATTTAAAGAATTAACATCAGTCCTCCTCAAAATCTTCCAAAAATTTAAGGAGGAGGGAACACTTCCAAACTCATTCTATGAGGCCAGCAATACCCTGATACCAAAGCCAGATAAGGACGCTACAAGAAAACTATAGATCTATATCCCTGATGAATATAGATGGAAAATTCTCAACAAAATATTGGCAAACCAAATTTAAGACTACATTAAAAGTATTATACACCATAACCAAGTAGGATTTATCCCTGGATGAATGCAAGGATGGTTTAACATATGCAAATCAATAAATGTAATACATCTCACTAATAAAATGAAAGAAAAAATTGCATGATCATCTCAATAGATGTAGAAAAAGCATTTGACAAAATACGACATCCTTTTATGATTAAAAAAACCCTTCAACCAAATGGACATATAAGAAACATACCTCAAAATAATAAAGACCATGTATGACAAACCCACAGCTGACATACTCAATGGAGAAAAATTGAAAGCTTTTCCTCTAAGATCAGGAAGAAGACAAAAATGCCCACTTTTGCCACTCTTATTCAATATAGTACTGGAATTCCTAGCAAGTGTATTAGGCAAGACAAAGAAATAAAAGGCATCCAATCATAAAGGAAGAAGTAAAATTGTTATTTGCAGATGGTATGATTTTGTATATAGAAAATTGCAAAGACTCAACCAAAAAACTGTTGGAACTAATCAATAATTTCAGTAAAGTATGTTGACAAAATCGACTTAGACAAATCAGTTGCAATTCTATACACTAATGATGAAACGTGAAAAAGAAAGAAGACTATCCCATTCACAATAGCATCAAAAATAATAAAGTAGTTAGGCATAAATATAACCAAGGAAGTGAAAGATGTGTACAATGAAAACTACAAGACTTTGCTGAAAGAAATGAAAGAAAATACAAACGAATGGAAAGACAACTCATGTTCAAAGATTGGAAGAATTAATATTGTTACAATGTCCATATTATCCAAACCCATCTATAGATTCAGTGCAATCCCCATCAAAATACCAATGGCATTCTTCATAGAAATAGAAAAAACAATCCTAAAATTTGTTTGGAACCACAAAAGACCCTGAATCACCAAAGCAATCCTGAGGAAAAAGAACAAAGCCAGAAGTGTCACACTTCCTGATTTCAAATGATACTATGAAGCTATAGTAACAACAACAGTATGGTACTGGCACAAGAATAGACACATAGAACAATGGAACAGAATAGAGAGCCCAGAATTAAACCTGTGCATATATGGTTGACTAATATTTGACAAGGGAGCCAAGAACATCCTATGGGGAAAGAACAGTCTCTTCAACAAATGATGTGGGGAAAACTGGAGAAACACATGCAGAACAATGAAATTAGACTCCTGTCTTACACCAGTCACAAAAATTAACTTGAAATGGATCAAAGACTTAAACATAAGACCTGACACTATAAAACTCCTAGAAGAAAACATAGGGAAGAAGCTCCTTTACATTGATCTTGGCAATGATTTTTTGGATATGACACCAAAAGCAGAAACAACGAAAGCAAAAATCAACAAGTGGGACTACATCAAACATAAAATCTTCTGCACAGCAAAAGAAACAATTAGTGAAATAAAAGGCAACCTGCAAAGTGGGAGAAAAATTTTGCAAACCATATATATATCACACAAGGGGTTAATATCCAAAATATATAAAGAACTCAATAACCCAAAAAAGCAAATAAACAATCCATTTAAAAAATGTGCAGAAGAACTAAATAGACATTTTTCCAAAGAAGACACCTAAATGGCCAATAGGTACATGAAAAGATGCTCAACATCACTAACCATCAGGGAAATGCAAATCAAAACCACAATGAGTATAACCTTATACCTGTAAGAGTGCCTATTAGCAAGAAGACAAGAGAGAACAAGTGCTGGCAAGGATATGGAGAAAAGAGAAACCTTGTACACTGTTGGTGGAAATGCCAATTGGTTCAACCACTATGGAAAACAATATGGAGGTTTCCCAAAAAATTAGAAGTAGATTTACCATATGATCCAGCAATTCTACTTCTGGGTATATACCCAAAGGAAATGAAAACACGATTTCCAAGAGATATTTATCACAGCATTATTCACAATAGCCAAGACATAGAAACAACCTAAGTGCTCATCAATGGATGAATGGATAAAGAAGATGTGGTATATATATACAATGGAATATTATTCAGCTGTGAGATAGGAGGACATTCTGCCATTTGCAACAACATGGATGGACCTTGAGCACATTATGCTAAATCAGATAAGTCATACAGAGAAAGACAAATGCTATATGATATCACTTACATGTAGACTCTAAAAAAGCAAAACTCGTAAAAATGAAGAGTAAAATGATGGTGACCAGGAGATGGGACAGATGTTATTTAAGCATACAAACTTACAAGAGTAGTAAATAAGCCCTAGAGATCTAAGGCACAGTACATTTAATATAGACAACAAACTTGCTAAGAGCCTAGAACTTAATTATTCCAACCACTAAAAAAAAGGATAATTACGTAATGTGATAGAGGTGCTAATTATTGCAACAATGGAAGTCATATTACAATATATAAATGTAACCAATTAACATGTTACACACCTTAAATTTACAAAATGTTGTATGTCAAGTACATTTCAGTAAAAAAAAAAAAAGCAGAACATTACCAGCACCCTATAAATCTCCCTTTTGCTCCTGTCTCATCCCTGACCCTAAGAGTGATTACTATCCTGACTCCTAACAGCATAGATTATATTCACTTATTATTGAATATTTTATAAAATACAGTATATATGTTGGTGGGTATGTATGCAGCAGTAGCATTGGGTTGTAGGATTTGGTGTGTGTTTAGCTTTAGTAAACAGTACCAGAACATTTTCCAAAAGGGCTTGTTCAGTTTATATTCCTGCCAGCTGTGCATGAGACCTCTGGTTCTTCTGTCTCTTCAACAATACTTAATATATATTTTTATCATTTTGGTCATTCTGGTGGGTATTTCAACAAAGTGAAGAAACAAAAGGGATGGACTGAGTAAATGATACTGTTTAAATGGCTCTTGCCATTCTCAGTGACTATAGAACCCATATGAGAGCAAATTCTAAGATGTAAGTATATACAAAATCTCCTTTACCATGTGCTGGCTGAGTGTGAGTCTAGCATTTAGTGATAGATGTTGTTTTTTATACAACACGAACCTTTAACAATCATGACTTCATCTGGTACTCACCCATTGAAAGAGTCATTTCAACTCTAAGGATAATCTGGCTGTGTAGACTGATAGGTTATAATTTGTTAGACCTAGTTAACTATTCTCTCTACTAGGTCTCAAGATGGCATATTTCTATGCAATTTTGACCACATCTGACCTCCTCCTTATTTGCTAATCTTCAAACCTAACTTCACTTCAGATTTATGCATTTGAAGGGGCCAGGGAATGAATGGGTGAGGTGAGAAGACAACAAAACGCACTAGCCCCTCTAGAAAGTTTATGTAGAATCATACTGTCTTGGTGTCCAATATGGAAATTGAGGCCCAGAGAGGTTTGCTGGTGTGTCAGGACTAGACGTTTTGACTCCAAGACCAGCGTATACTTTCCTAGGCTGCACATCCATACTCAAAGATAATCTCTTCTACCCTCATTTGCACTGGGTCACATTCTCTGAGCTGTACAGCCACTATTGAAAGCTCTGGGGTGAGGACACATTTGGTTTGCTCAGTTCCTTAAGCAGGCCCCCTAGTTGTTTTCTAATATATGGAGATGTCCTATTTCAAAGGACCTGTAAGAAAAAACAGGCAGGCTGTTTTCGTCTCTCTTATGGGCATTGTCCAGATATGAAGCCATTGTCTCCTAGCTTAAAACCCACCCGTGGGGGCCAGCCCGGTGGCGCAAGCAGTTAAGTGCTCACGCTCTGCTGCGGCGGCCTGGGGTTCGCAGGTTCGGATCCCTGGCGCGCACTGACGCACTGCTTGGCAACCATGCTGTGGCGGTGTCCCATATAAAGTGGAGGAAGATGGGCATGGATGTTAGCCCAGGGCCAGTCTTCCTCAGCAAAAAAAGAGGAGGATTGGCAGATGTTATCATAGGGCTGATCTTCTCACACACACACAAAAAAACCCATCCGTGTATACACTACTTTGTGATGCTCAGGCTATGTGCTCACCAGCTTGGCTCTGCCATAGGGGGCATCAGAGGGAGACTGGAAGGCAAGAGGAGAGAGGAGACTTGCTCCTTCCGCCATGCTTCCTGTTCTGTCAGCATCGCTCCATCACTCCAGCCTTCCTTCCTAACTCCACCAGTGGGAGTGTCATCTAGTAGCGATAGGTGAATCCACTTTGCAGCTGTTCTAATATTTGCAGAAGTAGCTTTATTGTGCCCCCACGTCAAGATACCAGCACCAACTGACAAGCGTTCACTCTTGAGAGGGTGGAGTCCCACCTGCACAGGGCTGCACGTCTAAACTCAGAGCCACCAGCACCAGCTCAGCAGCAACCCCTCTTCTAAGATCTGAATGTCAGCTCTGGGGTCCTCCCCTTTAAACCTCTAAGTTCTAATAATTCCACCCTCTTCCCTTTGTTGCTCTACCCATAGGGGTGTAGCTGCTTCCTGTAGTTGCTTCCTCTGCCATACTTGAATGTGCATTTGGCCTTTTCAGTTACCCTAGTAATAATTTGTTTTACCTGGTTAACTATTCTCTCTACTAAAAAATAACAAAAATCTGGTGTGGCCTCTGTGTTCTGACTGATAGAAGTGTTATCCCATTACCTCTTTCCTGATACTTCTTGAGGTAGAGCAGCTGTTACATCCCCCATTGACAGATGAGGAAACTGAGGCAGTGAAGTGTGATTGCTCAGCTAATTAGTAGCAGAGCTAAAAAAGGATTAAGCTTTTAGGCCAGAGCTGTGACTCCCTCATACCTATTCCCACCCTCACCCCCCGGTTTGTATATCTCCCTAGGAGGAGGACTAAGAAAGGGAAGGTCATTTGGCCTGGCATTTGTTGTTTTATTTCTTACTGTTTGTATTCCACAGGAAGATCAAGTGACACATGTCCTAGACTGATCTCTATTTTTCTAGAATATTAGCCTATCCACAGAGGAGCTGTTCTTCCTGTCTCCCCCTCACCCCATCCCTAAATAAATGACAATTTCTCCCCTTAAATTGGAACGTCCTGAAGGATTTTTTTAAATTACTAGAGGTCTGTATTATCCCTGAGCATCTCTTTAGCCCCCAAGTTTTCTTTCCAAAGCTTCCTGCCTCATATTCTTCTGACAGGGACCCAAGACAGTTTTTCAAAACCTAATTAATTCACAGATTTCAGGAGGTGTCCTGCCACGCAGGACCTATGCTCTGAGTTCACAGCTGCACTCTGATTTTTAGAGTTTCCACCAGCTGAATCACCCTAAATAGCTGTTCCCTTCCCATACAATCCTTTCTTAATCACGAAGTCTGATAATATCATCAAAATCCCTTCAGAACTCCTCAGGCCTGTCATAAAACTGTGTCCATGATTCACTTATTTAACTTATTTAACATTTATTTAACAAGTAGACATGGAGTGTCTACCAGCCTCTCCAGAGAGCAGAGGCTTCCCTCCCGTCCTTCCTCTCATACTGATGACCCTTTGTGTTGGCTTTTGTTACAGCTCTTTTCTCATCCTGCCTGGTATATATTTTTGTGGTGTAAATTTTACCCACTAGGTGGTTATTAATCATAGTAATTTTAATAATAACAGTCAATGTATCCTCAGCGTTCCCCACCTGCCGGCAGCTGTGCTCACTGTTTTACAGGTTCTCCTCATATAATAGTAGCAGGCAGGCAATAGTATTACTTTTGTTTAACAGTAAGAGAAACTGAGGTGCAAGGCATTTGTGACGGGTGTCCATCCCACAACCAGAAAGCAGTAGAACTAAAATTTGACCCCAGGCAGGCTAACCCCAGCATCCGTGCTCTTAATTAATATACTATATACTGCTGCTTGTTAAAAGAAATTACTCATTTTTTCTGCTTTCTTTTTTCCATGAAAATGATGTCATTGACTTTCTTCCCAGTAGAATATGCATATTAAAATTCTGTACTACGAGTAGTGAGAGGTTGCTTTATTTCCCCCCAACAAATGACTTTTTCCTCTTGTTTAGTTTCAACGTTTTTGGAAATGAGTATAAGACACACATTTACATGCCAGGTATGAACTCAGTTGTTGAAAAAAGCCTAGAAAAAACTCTTTAAGATTATACAAAAATGTTTATAATAATTATCTTTGAGTGGTGCCACACTAGCTTATTTATTCATATTTGCTGTATTTTCCATCTTTCTATAATGAGAATGTATTATGGAATGTTGAAGGAATGACAACTTTGTGCTGGATTGGGAGGTTCAGGTCAGTCTGCTAATTACCAAGAGACTTAGTGGGTGACTAATAATTATTTTGGGGAATTTGTAATTTTAATTTTTTCTAAGTTATACGTATCTTTGTTTAAAAAGATTAATAATTCTACAAGGTTTATAATAAAAAGTGGCAATTCAGAGTGACGTTACCTAGATGGTGACACAGGACATTCCTGACTTTCCTCCCCCTCACAAGAACAACAATTAACAACTATTCATGAACAAGACACCACTGAAAGCCTCCTAGAACACAAGGGTAGGCTGAAGCAGCCCCCGGTACCACAGAGACCAAGACAGGCTGCATTAGAAGGGTAAGAGGAGTGGCCACATGCTGACTGCATTTCCCATCCCCCAGGCTGCACAGCACCACACCAAGAGGTCTCCCCTGAGCCTAAAGTTCCTCCAAGAGGAAAAGAGAGCCCAGAATGGACATCCAGCTCCCCCAGTGTTGTGGATCACTTCTTGGGAACCCTCGCTCTGGTCTCACCCCACAGGGATTGCAGGAGAATCTGTGGGGCCTATCCACTGGGAATCTGATTGTGATGGAGAAGGGGGGAGGGGCTTGCAACAATCAGCACTTAGATCTTGCGGACAGAGTTGCTACCTGCAGCTCCCTAGTAGTAGTCTTAACCAGCAGCTTTGCTCATCTGCAGAAATAAGTCAATGGTGCAGTCTGACCAGGGAACTCAGCGGGGTGTAGGTCTGCCTGATTTGGGTCCTAAAAGAGAGGTTTGCCAGCCCTGGAGCCTGGTTTGCTCCTGCGCAGGCAAGGGACTTGAGTCATAGCCTGGCCCACTGCTAAGTGTAGCTCCCAGCCCCATCTGACCAGAAAGGCTGGCAAGAACACCGGGAAACCACATAGCTCAGCAATACTTGCTGAGCTGATAGTCTGCAGAGCAAAGCCAGGGAGTTTGGGGCACAGTGCACAGTCTTGCCTGACTTAGGTCCCCCAAAGCAAGCTATGTAGGTCCTGAGGCATGTCCTGCTGCCCCCTCAGGGCAAGAAAGCATATTCTTAGCCCATCTACTGCTGAGTATAGTACCCAGTACTAGGAAGTCTGACTAGAGAACCTAGGTGACCATGGAGCCCATCCTATAGCCTTGCTTGGGCAGAGAATCAAGTCAGAAGTCCTATCCAACTGTTCTCAGCCAGTGGAAACCTGCTTCCCTGACCTCAGAGCTTGGGCAGTGACCTTACCCCAAAATAAACTTTGATAGCAAACCTCACCTGCTCTAGGACTTTACCAATGGACACAGTCAGAAACCCAAGCTAAGCTGACCTCTGAAGAACTGTCCTTGCTAAAGTGAACCTGCAAAGTCTGGAAGAGAAAACCACTTACTCTAATGTGCAGAATAACTGACCCTAAAGAAATGGAGATCTGTGAACTATCACACAAAGAATTCAGAATAATCCTTATAAATTTCAGTGAACTACAAGAACATGTAGACAGACAACTAAATGAAATTTGGAAAACAATGCATAAACAAAATGAGAAGTTCAAAGAAAAAAAAGTAAAGAAAGAAAGAACCAAACAGAAATCCTAGAACTGAAAAATACAATGGCTGAACTGAAGGACTTAATAGAGAGTTTCAAATGTAGACTCAACTATGCAGAAGAAAGAATTAGTGAGCTAGAAGACAGGACATTTGAAATTATCCAGTTAGTGAAACAAACAAACAAACAAACAACAAAAAAAGAAAGAAAGAAAAAGAGTGAAGAAAGCTTATAGAGTTTATGGGACAAAATCAAAATAGATAATATCCACATTATGGGAATTCCAGAAGAAGAAAATAGAAAGAGACAGAATATGTATTTAAAGCAATAATGTTTTCTCAAACCTGAGGGAAAAAATGGACATACAGATCCATGAGGCCCAGAGGATCTCGAATAGGTTGAACCTGAATAGGGTTACACCAAGACACATAATAATTAAATTATCAAAAGTCAAAGACAAAGAAAGAATTTTGAAAGCAGCAAGAGCAAAGAGAGAAGTTACATACAAGGGAACCTCCATAAGATGATCAGTGATTTTCTCAACAGAAACTTTTCAAGTCATGATATGTTCAAAATATTGAAAGAATAAAACTTAACCAAGAATTCTATACACAGCAAAGCTATCCTTCAGAAATAAAGGAGAAATAAAGATGTTCCCAAACAAACAAAAGCTCTGAGAGTTCATCATTGCTACATTTGCCTTACAAGACATGCTAGGGGGAGTTCTTTGAGTGCAAGTGAAAGGATGTTAATTATCATCATAAAAATATAAGTAGGTAGCATAAAACTCACTGGTAATGGTAAATATATAGTCAAAGTTTGGTTTTGTAATATGGTAAGTGTGATGCATAATTCACTTACAACTTTAGTTTAAAAGGTAAAAAACAAATGTGATAAAAATACCCATAACAGTAAACTGCTATTAGTTACACAATATTAAAAAATATCTAAACTGTAATACCAATAACCTAAAATGTGAGGAGGAGGAGGAGTAAAAGTGTAAGTTTAGGAATTCTATTGAAATTAAGTTGTTATAAGTTATAGGGTGTTATAATTTAGATATTTTATGTAAGCCTAATGGTAACCACAAGGGAAAAATCTGTAGTAATTACACAGAAGAACATGATAAAGATGTCAAAGCATATTGATAGCAAAAGACAT